AGATGAGGTGGGGTTCTCTGGAGCCTATATACACAGTGTTTGGAAGTGTAGAATCGGATCTCATCCTGCTATCTCCATCCTCCCTTCCCCTCACAGGGCTCACCCCTCCAGCTACCCCTCCCCACCAGTTATGGAAGCCCTTGGCTGCTGTTTCCCTGCTGGCCAAAGTCAAATCTCCTAAGTCCACCGCCCAGGAGGGAACCCTGAAGCCTGAAGGAGTTACAGAGGCCAAACATCCAGCTGCAGCCAGCCTCCAAGAAGGGGTCCATGGCCCTAGTCCAGTCCATGTGGGCTCTGGGGATCATGACTATTGTGTCCGGAGCAGGACCCCCCCAAAAAAGACGCCTGCCCTAGTCTTTCCAGAGGCAGGCTCCCGATGGAACGTCAAACGCCATCAGGATATCACCATCAAACCTGTTTTGTCCCTGGGCCCAGCTGCCCCCCAGCCCCCAGGCCCAGCTGCCTCCCAGGACCCACTTGATCACAGGACTAGCAACAAGCAGGCAGATCCCCCAGCCCCTTGCCTTGCTCCACCTGCCTTGCTGTCCCCTGAGGCGTCACCCTGCCGGAATGACATGAACACTAGGACTCCCCCTGAGCCCTCAGTCAAGCAGCGGTCAATGCGTTGTTATCGAAAAGCCTGCAGGTCAGCCAGCCCCCCAGGCCGGGGCTGGCAGGGCCATCGTGGCCGCAGCAGTTCTGTCAGCTCTGGGTCCAACCGGACCAGTGAAGCATCTTCCTCTTCATCCTCATCGTCGTCTTCATCCCGATCCCGGTCCAGGTCCCTCTCCCCCCCACACAAGAGGTGGCGAAGGTGAGCTCTGATGATCTATTAGGTCTTCTCCATTTAGGAAGTTCATGTACTCTCCTCTGGTTTATTTTGAAAGTTTTTTTTATACATTGAGTTTGATACTTTTAGGCCCTTAAGACTCCTATTTCCGTATTTGGCTTTTGTCTTCTCCCGCTTCCCTGGATTATTGAAGGAGGCAAGCTGTGAGAAAATAGCTTCTGTCCTCTGTTGGAAGTTTGGGGTATCCCTGTTGTCTCTGCTTCCTTGAGACCTACCTTGGGGAGGCCATTAGGGTTTGATCTTGACTATGTTGATTTTTTGGAACACTGTTATCAGTCCTCATTTCTGGTATTTTCTTGGTGGGATTGTGGGTTGTTAATGGCAGACAGTCCTTTTAATCTCTTGAGAAAAGAGTCTGGGCGGTTCCTTTGGGTGTCCCTGTGGCCTCATTTATTTCTTGGCAGTACTTTTTTTTTCAGTAACAGACCCAAATCTTTCCCATTTAGATAAGGAGGCCATTATGTCTTGAGTTCATTTATTTTTCTTTCTGATTTGTTAAATATTATCAGGTTTTCATTGCATAATTGAAAATAAATATGACTTACACCAAAACACTAAAACATTCCAGTACACCTAAAGTTTGTGAAGGCTTCAGTTTGGTCATCTGTGAGAAGTTTTTGCAGACCTCTTCAGCTCTCCTTTGCCTTTGGTTCTGAGCCTCCAAACCAGGAGGCAGGGCTGCAGCCAAGGTGAAGTGAGTGGAGTGCACCTGCGCCATTTTCAGCATTCCTACATGCCCCTTTATTTTCCAGGTCCAGTTGCAGTTCTGGACGTTCCCGAAGATGCTCTTCCTCTTCCTCATCTTCCTCATCCTCATCATCTAGTTCCCGAAGCCGGTCCCGGTCCCCATCCCCCCGTCGGAGAAGTGACAGGAGGCGGCGGTGAGCATGTGTTCAGGGAGTCAGTGCATCTGGGGTGCAGGTGCCTCAAGAGTTCTGAGACTTCAGCTAATGTCTTGGGGGGCTGATGACACCTTCTTCTTTTGTCAGGTACAGCTCTTATCGTTCACATGATCATTACCAAAGGCAGAGAGTGCTGCAGAAGGAGCGTGCAATAGTGAGTAGAGGAACAGGTCATGGGAGGAGGGAGCCCGCCCGAGCCATATGCTAATATTGCTGTACATAGCTCTGGCCCTGGCTCATGGTGATGTGAATTTTCCTTGACCCCACATAGGAAGAGAGAAGAGTGGTCTTCATTGGGAAGATACCTGGCCGCATGACTCGGTCAGAGCTAAAACAGAGGTTCTCTGTTTTCGGAGAGATTGAGGAGTGCACCATCCACTTCCGTGTCCAAGGGTAAGCTTGGGCTGTAAGGTCAGGGTGTCTTTTCTGTCCCATTCACGTACCTTGATGCTGCTTTGTCTTTCCTCCTTGCTTTGGTGTGCTGGTTAGTGTAGGACAATTTCAGTTTTTCACTCAGAGTGTTGACTCTTTCGGGAATGAGAAGAATCACCCCAATCCCTCTCTGTACCCTGGGGGGCTGTTTCTTCTCCATGGCATGTGCCCAAATAGCCTCTGCCTCACCCTCCCCATCAGTGACAACTATGGCTTCGTCACTTATCGCTATGCTGAGGAGGCATTTGCCGCCATCGAGAGTGGCCACAAGCTGAGGCAGGCAGATGAGCAGCCCTTTGATCTCTGCTTTGGGGGCCGAAGGCAGTTCTGCAAGAGAAGCTATTCCGATCTTGGTGAGTGGAGGGAGACCCAGAGGCTTTGGTGTACTTGATTTTCCCAGAAGGGTTCCTAGCCTTTTGTGAGTGGGCTAGGCAGACTTGTCTTCATCTGACACACAAAGAACCTAAGGGGTGGGATGACTTAAAATCATTATTTGGATGGGAGGTGGCTGGCCATCTGAGGACCCTTTGGTTGGCAAGTATGGTCAGAGACCTTGATGTTTGTCTCTCTCTACCTTTATAGACTCCAACCGGGAAGACTTTGACCCTGCTCCTGTAAAGAGCAAATTTGATTCTCTTGACTTTGACACATTGTTGAAACAGGCCCAGAAGAACCTCAGGAGGTAACCCTGGGCCCTTCTCCCCCCTCCCCCTTCTTTGGAGGTGTCCAACCATCTCCACCCCCCTCCCCCACTCTAGGGGAGAGAGCTGCTAGTGAGGAGATGACTGTTTTATAAAGAAATGAAAAAAGTGAAATAAAAATCGTTAAATCAGAATTTTTTAAAGGGTATTTTTTTTTTATAACAGGCATTGAAACAAATTAACTTGCATTCCTATATGAGATGGATGAGGCTGAGGGGTTCCCCCAGTGTTTGGATGACCTAAGTCACTATGCAGACTAATAAATATGAACTAGAGAGAACTCCAAGTGCTGTTGTGCTTCTTTATTTCTATGGTGTTAATGCCAGACATACTCAATTTTTCTCTCAACACAATCAGCGTCATGTTTACCTCCACTGAGTTCCTAGGACTCCTCTTTGGTCAGGTACGAAATCCTATCAGGCTCAAAACTTGGCTTGTCAAGTGTGGTGTTAGTGGAATCAGCCATCTAGGGCAGTGTTTCTCAAACTTTAAAAGTGCATTTGAATCACTTGGAGATTTTTTTTTTTTAAAGAATTTCATTTATTTATTTTCAGAGGGGAAGGGAGGGAGGGAAAGAAACATCAATGTGTGATTGCTTCTCATACTGGGGACCTGGCCCACAACCCAGGCATGTGCCCTGCCTGGAATCGAACCAGCAACCCTTTGATTCTCAGGCTGGCTCTCAATTCACTGAGCCTCATCAACCAGGGCACTTGGAGATCTTTTTAAAAAGCAGATTTTGACTTCTGGGATGGGGCCTGAGATTCTAACAAGGGGATGCTTATGTTACTTGTTTTGGGAGGTGTTTTTTTGTTTTTTGTTGTTTTTTTTTAAGACTTTACTTACTATTTTTTAGAGAGAGGGGAAAGGGAGAGAAACACTGATATGTGAAGGAAACTGATCTGTTGTTGCTGGCAGAGCCTCCAAATGGGAACCTGGTCTGTAACCCAGGCATGTGCCCTGGCCAGGAATCATAACCGGCAACCTTTTGGTCACAGGCCAGTGCTCAGTCCACTGAGCCACACCAGCCAGGGCTGGAAGGTCCTTTAATATCAAGGACCTAGGGAAAGCTCACACTTGTTCCAAATAAAGTTTTTTTAAACTGAGACTTGGGTGTATGTGTGCCATTTTAGCTTAGCAGCAGTGGCTCGGATGTTTAAAGAATGCACACATATGGATAGACCTCTGGGGCAGAGGAAGATCTAGGGAGTTTTATCTAGGAGAGGGCAATGCCTAAAGGCAAGGAAGTGTGTCCCCTGAAAAAGTGCATCCCTACCCTTCCTGAGAGGCAGTAATGGGAAGTAGTCAAGGGTAGTGTGGATCGAAGGTCTGCCGCTAATGTGAATTTAAAAAATGATAGAATTTGAAGCTGACCTGGCAGGCATGAATATTTGAGTATTCATAACAAAGGGGGAGGGAATATTTTAGGACTTCCATAGAGTTCATCGTATGAACTATGACCCAGGAAGTATAAGTGTTACTTTTAAGGGCTACGGTTTACCTTCGTGGAGCTGACTTCTGACTGAATAAGTTGGGGAAAGGTTTCATGGGCAAGACATGATTGTGGAAGGGGCAATTTTGGGAATCAACTCCCCATTCCTACCATGGATGATCTGAAGGATCTTGAGCCTTGAAGAGAGTCCAGAGGCTAGGGTGCTACCTGAAAAAGGATCGCTGTGGGTGAGGGAGGCAGTGAGGATGAAGGGTGGGAATCCAATGGCAGCGCCGTTAGGGGCGTCTGGAGATCTTGTTACTAAGCCTAGAGACTCCAAGGGCAGCTCGATCTCGTCGGTCCACTCATTTCTCTGAAATGCAAATCCCACCTAGAGCGCGGGAAACCGCGGCTGGGAGGAAACGTGCCTGCCATGAAGGGGGCGGGGGGAAGCTCAGGGCGCCGGAAGTCCGGTGTTTTCCCGCCACGTCGAGGGCGTGACCCCTGACGTCAGACTTCATCTTCACAAAGTGAATGGCGGCGGGCTCCGCCCTCACAAGATGGCGACACTCGTGGGAACGGAAATCTTAGACTTCGCCGAGACTCCACCTCCTAGGTGGGGGCGGGGCGGACCTGCAGAGTGCGCCCGCCTCTTCCTCTGTTCACCCGCCTCTTCCGCTTGCGCCCGGGCGGCGCGAGAGCGTCACGCGGGTCCGCCCTCACCTCTCGAGGTTCCAGAGTTCTTGAGTTGTGTGCGTCGGCAACGGTAGTGACGCGTATTGCTCGGAGGATGGCCGACGCCGGCTTGCGCCGCGTGGTTCCCAGTGATCTGTATCCTCTTGTGCTCGGCTTTCTGCGCGATAACCAGCTATCGGAGGTGGCCAATAAGTTCGCCAAGGCAACTGGCGCTGTGAGTCCTAGACTTGGGGCACGGGCCGGGGTGGGCTCAGCACAGGGCTCCGGGCCCAGGCGTGCTTGTTTCCAGGCAGAGAGGTCCGTGGGGTCCCCTCGCAGGGTGTCCGCGGGGCCTTTGCGCCGAGTTCTCGGTGGTGACCGGAGAAAGCTTGGAGTCCACGAGGGCTAGATAGTGCTGATTGAGTCTTGTTGCTTTTTTGCTGGTGAGCAGCGCAGTGGTGGCAGCGTGGCACCCGCGTGGCCCAGATCACGTGGCCGGTGGAGTGCGTTGAAGAGGGAGCACCCAGCCCCATCGGAGGCATTGGAAGCTCCTGGTTCCTTCTTTTGGCTTTACGTTGGCTGGTGCAAAGCGTGACTTGACCTTTTAGGCTCAAAAATAAATAAAATTGCTTTAGAAGGGTGGGATTGTCGGTAGTAAAGAAGAAAGTAAACGAGAGTAGAGGCAGCGTTCTGCTTTTAGTTATACTGAAGCAACATTGAGCATCAGAGTCCTATGCAGTCATAGCAGTAAACTTGGATCTTTGACTTGTAGAATCAGATACGTGTAGTTTCGGGACCAGTCTCTGCCATTCATTTAAAGATGTATGAGCAGGGCGGCTTGTTTAAACTGAGTCTGTTTCTATTTCTATGGATATCATCATCCACTTTATGGGGTTTTTGTGAGTTTCAGTAATATAATATGTACCATGTGCCAGTCCCAGTGCCTGGCGGTCAGAAAACATCAATGAGTGAAAGCTGTTTTTACTTATAAAATGAAGATGACTAAGAATGTGAAAGGTTTGGAATCTACATCTCAAGAAAAGCAGACATGATTGCATGAGCAAACACCTTGAGAGACTGTAGAGGGTCTTTGGCAGTCCTGGTCTTTGACTAAGAAGGTAAGACTTTTAGTGGCAGGATCAAGCTGCACAAGGAGAGAATCAGATCAGTCTCAAAGGACTTCCTTGAGCTGAGGCAGCCTGCCATGTGATCAAATATAACTGCTTTCATATTGGAACTTTTGGAATGGACTGTTAGGGAGGCTGCAAAGAGTTTTTCTGCAATGGGCTGGATGGAACTGGGCATTTTAGAATCGGGACTTTTTTTTTTTAATGTGACAAAAACTAATCTTTGTAGAGGGCTTAGTAAGGGCTAGATGATTTCTCCAGATGCTAAATCCTTTATATGCCTTGTCTCTTATCCTCTCAACAACTTAAGATGTATAGTATTATTTCCATTTTACACAGAAGAAAAGTCTCAGAAAAATTAAGTAATCTGCTCATGGTCACCAGTAATAAGTGGCAGAGGTGAATTTCACATCTGTACTCATTTAACTCTGAGCTTATAATCTTTTTCTTTTTTAAAAGATTTTATTTATTTTTGGAGAGAAGGGAAGGGAGGGAGAAAGAAGAGAGAAATATCAATGTGTGGCTGCCTCTTGCACAACCTCTGTAGGGGATCTGGCCCACAACCCAGGCATGTGTACTGACTGAGAATCAAACCAGCGACCCCTAATTTTGCAGGCTGGCACTCAATCCACTGGATCACACCAGCCAGGGCTGAGCCTGTACTCTGTGTGTGCTCTAATGCCTTGCCATTTTTATTGCACCAATTAATAATATCTATAAGTGTAATTAGTAGCTACATGAAATTCTATACTGTATATATGACGTAGCTTTTTACCAATCTTCTCTTGGAGGCTGATTTCCAATGATTTGATGTTATAAACCGCATTACAACAAACTCTTGTATAAATATTTGTGCCTGTGTTTCATGAGTAAGGATATATTTCTAGATTATACATTGCTAGAGTAAAAGGAACATGCATTTAAAAAGACTTAATAAAATTGAAAGGTGGGGGAATAGATGGTGTCAAAAAATGTAGGGATAGCCCAAGTTTTTGATACCAGATATAGGGAAATACCTAAGTAGAATATGTTTCTCCTAATTTGTGCAAATAGAAGTCATATGAAACTAACATTTATATGAACTATGATAGGTATAAAATAGGTCACTTTTAAAAAATTTTTTCATTTATTGATTTTGAGAGAGAGAGAGAAACATCGATTTATTGTGCCACTTATTTATGCATTCATTGGTTGATTTCTTGTATGTGGTTGATTTCTTGTATGTGCTCTGACCAGGGATCGAACCTGCAACTCTTGCATATCAGAACGATGATCTAACCAACTGAGCTACAGAGCCAAGGCTAAAAGCAGATTCTATTTAATAAGACAATAACACAAAATCTGATCTCCCCCGGAATAACCAGGATAAAATTTTCTTACCCAGCTCTTTATTTTTTCTCCTATAGACCCAGCAGGATGCCAATGCCTCTTCCCTCCTGGACATCTATAGTTTCTGGCTCAAGTAAGTCTTCCCTGTACCACTCTGGCTATTTTCTCCCCCAAAGTGGGCTGGGCTGTTTCTTGGTTTGGAAAGGTCCTGATCACCTAGAAGTTAGCCTGACCTACCTCAACAGGTCCACGAAGGCTCCAAAACGGAAGTTACAAGCAAATGGGCCAGTGACTAAGAAGGCTAAGAAGACGACTTCATCCAGTGACAGCAGTGAAGACAGCAGTGAGGAGGAAAAAGCCCAAGGGCCTCCAGCCAAGAAAGCTGGTAAGGTAGAGCAGGGAGTTGGGTTTAGCAGTTCCAGGAAAAGGATCTGTAGTTTGCCTACGCTGCATAGCCGATTCTTAGTGGTACCTGTGTTCTTGTTCAGCTGTACCTGCCAAGCGTGCCAGTCTGCCTCCACATCCTGGTAAGGATGCAGCCAAAGCACCAGAGAGTAGCAGCAGTGAAGAATCCAGTGATGAGGAGGAGGAAGAGGACAACAAGAAAAAGCCTGTCCAGGTTTGCAACTTGGAAAGGAAAAGGGTTGCTTAAGGAATCAGGAAGAAGAAACCTAAAATCTTAGCTTCTACCTTGTGACCTAGTGGTGGTGTGCTGGTGATTATGGGGCAGAAAATCTGGGTACTTTTCAGAGAGGTGATACAAGTATGAGGTCTGAAAAGTATATGTGTGGTTGAAGTTAGACTCTGAATCTAGAGGAAGTCAGCCCATCTGTTTCCCAGGAGGTATTGGGTTTCTCTGGGACACTGTCTAGGACTCCAAAAGTAAGAAAGTATGTTTTATAGACAGTGTTGGGAGACAGGGAATGGCAGGGACAGGGCCAATAGATGATGTGGCTGAACTTTTTGTTTTATTTTTAAGAGTTTGTTCTTTGCATATGCTGTCCTGTTTAGCTTTCCCTTTCCTCTACTGCTTTGCTAGCCCATAAAAAATAAGGGGAAGCTAGGAAACATTTTACCTTAGGATGCCACTGGTTACCCAGAAACCCTTGCTGAGTCTCCTCATTGTGTGTTTTCTCACAGAAGGGAGTTAAGCCCCAAGCCAAGGCAGTCAAAGCTCCTCCTAAGAAGGCTGAGAGCTCTGATTCTGATTCTGACTCAAGCTCAGAAGATGAGGCACCAAAGAACCAGAAGCCAAAGACAACACCCGTGGCAGCTAAAGCTCAGGCTAAAGCTCCAGTGAAACCAGGTAGTTTCTTTTTCCAAAAGGCCAGGCTGGGGACCAGCTGGCTCTGGGGATGGGTGTTTAAATTGCTCATTTAGCAGAAAGGTGAAATGGTACTGGTTGTTGAACTGGAGATAGTGATTAGGTGTTTTTGTTTGTTTGTTTGTTTTAATAAAGACTTTATTTTTAGGGATGGAGGGATGGAGAGAGAGAAAAAACATCAATGTGTGGTTCCCTCTTGCGTGCCCCTTAATGGGGACCTGGCCTGCTATCCAGGCATGTGCCCTGACTGGGAATTGAACTGGCAACCTTTTGGTTCACAGGGTGGCACTCAATCCACTGAGCCACACCAGACAGGGCTGATTAGTGTTATATTTTTTAAAAGAAGCTATTAGTGAGTAGAAGATTTTATAATTAGGGGCTAGTAATTAGGGAAACAGTTTGCAATGAGGGAAGATGTGTTTTAAAAAATGGCGTCAGTTTATTATTCTTTAGTTGCATTTCATAGACGTTTGATGTCCCTACAAATCCCACTTTACTGTAACCACTTAACATCTCTATTCTTTGTGTTTTTCACTACCATTTTTTTTCATCCTGCACCTTCATTCCATAGTACAAGTGAGAAGTTTTATTTTCTCCTGTAATTTTTCTGTGATGAGGGTTAAGTTATGATTTATAGGAGCTTCTCTAGAAGCTGGAGTGAAAGATTTCAAGAACATATTTAAATTATTCACATCATATCATTTTAAAAGACAGAATAGTTTTAATTCCTGAAATTGGGCAGGAAAGACATCCTTTGATACAGTAAATCACAGCCATCTCCTTCATGCCTGCTTTAAAGGCCAGGGAATTGATAGACTCCAAAATTCTGTGCTAACAGGATGGAAGTTTTTATGTTCCTTTAATTTCTCAATACTTCTTACGCTATTTCTTTTTTCTTAGGCACACCCGTTCGAGCAGCTCCTAAAGTAGCTAATGGCAAAGCCGCTAGCAGTAGCAGCAGCAGCAGTAGCAGCAGCAGCAGCAGCGATGAAGACTCAGAGAAAGAGAAGGCAGCAGCTGTCTCTAAGAAGGTCTGGGTCATAACTACCAGGGAAGAGGGGACTGGGGGTGAAGGGCGCAGTCTCCATTTCCTGGCAGGATTGGTTGGGTCAACATATGCCTGTGGTAACTGATTGTCTTGTATGATGCAGACTGTACCTAAAAGGCAAGCAGTGGCCAAGGCCCCAGTGAAAGCAGCTGCCACCCCTGCCCAAAAGAGTTCCAGCAGTGAGGACTCCTCCAGTGAGGAGGAGGAAGAGGAGGAACAGAAAAAGCCCATGAAGAAAAAGCCAGGTGACTGGACATGGGGAGTGAAGCCACGTGACTGTTACCAGGGCCCGTGTGCAGAAGGACCTCGGTAGCCACCACGTGTAGTCTTCATAGAATTGCTTGATGTGAAGGCTAGTTTCTCTCAGAAATAACCTTGACTTGAAAACAACACATCAGCACCCCTGCTAATTCTAACCCACACTCCAGGGAAGGGGTGAAGTTCCATTTCTAGAAAGGAGAGGTATTAAAGAACTTGTGTACATATTTTCAAACCACCATATTCTCCCTTTTAAACAGGTCCGTATAGTTCAGTTCCCCCGCCTTCTGCTCCCCCACCCAAGAAGTCCCTAGGAAGCCAGGCTCCCAAGAAAGCTGCAGAGAAGAAACAGCCTGAGGAGAGCAGCGATGACAGCAGTGACGAGTCTGGTGAGTCTGTCTGAGGAGCCTTTGAGGAGGAAGAAGACAGAAATGCTCTGTCCCTCTTCTCACTGAAGCAAGACGGCTAAAGCTCTGTGGACCGTGTATCTTTCTTTTTATTGCTCCTGGTTGGGTTGGGGCTCTGGGCCCAGCCTAATGTATAGGTCTCTCCAGATTCAAGCTCTGAAGAAGAAAAGAAGCCGCCAGCTAAGGCAGTCATCTCCAAAGCGGCTACTAAACCAGCTCCAGCAAAGAAGGCGGCAGAGAGTTCTTCAGACAGCTCAGGTAAGGCATATGGAGGCCCTCGGGGCAGTGGGAGCTCCAGGGACTCTCCTCAGTTTAATTTGAGAAGCTATTCCTTCTATCCTTTTCCTGCCTAGACTCTGACAGTTCTGAGGAGGAAGCTCCTGCCAAGCCAGGTAGTACCACCAAGAATCCCTCAAGTAAGCCAGCTGCCACTCCCAAGCAGCCTGCAGCAAAACCAGCCGCAACTCTCAAGCAGCCTGCAGGCGGTGGCCAGAAGCCTCTGATCAGAAAGGCTGATAGCAGCTCCAGTGAGGAGGAGAGCAGTTCTAGTGAGGAGGAGGAGGAGAAGACGAAGAAGACGGCGGCCGCCGCCAAGTCCAAGGTGATGGCGAAAGCAGCTCTATCTTTGCCTGCCAAACAAGCCTCTCAGGGTGGTGGGGAGAGCAGCTCTGATTCAGACAGCTCCAGCAGTGAAGAGGAGGAGGAGGAGGAAAAGAAGATGTCTAAAGCCGCAGTTACAAAGAAGCCACAGAAGACAGCGGGAGCTGTAGCCCCTTCCAAGCCAGCCTCTACAAAGACAGTAAAGGCTGAGAGCAGCAGTAGTTCTTCTTCTGATGACTCCAGTGAGGAGGAGGAGGAGGAGGTGCCCAAGGGCAAGGGTACTCCTAGACCACCAGCCCCCAAAACCAGCAGCTCTCTCCAGAATGGAAAAGCAGAGAGGGACAGCAACAAGGAGGAAGAAGATAAGACAAAGGCAGCAGTGGCCATTTCGAAGCCAGGTCTGTATCCAAAGAAGCGAGCCCCTGGGTTTCACCCCTCCAGAATCAGGGTGGGATATATACTCTTGGCGGGTGGGGTAAGGAGAGGAGGCGAAATGACTAGGTTTGGGTTGCAGGCCCTCGGTGTGGCAACCTGGGCAGAGGAAGAGGAAACTGGTACCGAGTCTGGCTTTTTGTTTCATAGGTTCAGGAAAGAAACGAAAACAGAATGAGGCTGCCATAGAAGCAGAGACTCCGCCAGCCAAAAAGATAAAACCTCAGACCCCCAACACTTTTCCAAAAAGGAAGAAAGTAAGTGGCATTATTTTCCTCTCAGGAGCTGGCCTTTATTTTTTATTTTTTTAAAAAAGATTTTATTTATTTTTTAGAGATAGAGGAAAGGAGGGAGAAAGAGAGGGAGGGAGACATTGATGCACAAGAGAAACATTGATCTGTTGCCTCTCACACCCCCCAAACCGGGGACCTGGCCTGCAACCCAGGCACATGCTCTGACTGGGAATCAAACTGTCAATCTTGGTTCATAGTCTGGTGCTCAGTCCACTGAGCCACACCAGCCAGGGCATGAGCTAGCCTTTATTTTTCAAATATTTTTAAAGGTTTTATTTCTTTTTAGAGAGATGAGAAGGGATGGAGAAAGAAAAGAGAAAAATGGATGTGTGAGAGATGCACTGACTGGTTGCTTTTCACATGCCCCCAACCAGGGACCTGGCCTGCAACGCAGGCATGTGCCCTGACTGGGAATTAAACCAGTGACCCATTGGTTCTCAGGCTGGCACTCGATACACTGAGCCACACCAGCCAGGGCTATTTATAAGGTTTGTTTCTTTTAACAGGAAATATAATTTTAATACATATACATGGGGAATTCACATGGGCATGAAAATACCTAAGACTGTGAGGCAACATTGGGCATATAAGACATATTTGGACAAAAGAGTAGGGAATGGGGTATTGGATTTCAGAAGTGAGAATGGGGTGCTAGCCTTTAAAGAGTAGAGGGAAGAACCTGGGATCATCTTGACAGCTCTCCGCCTGGCCTGGCGCACATGCTCATGTGTGTATCACAGGAGGGCTTCTCTGTTACCTGACCACTCCATCTTTAATTTCGTACTTCATTCTTCCCCAGGCAGAAAAAAGGGCATCGTCCCCATTCCGAAGGGTCAGAGAGGAAGAAATCGAGGTGGATGCTCGAGTGGCAGACAACTCCTTTGATGCCAAGGTGAGGAGAGATGGAGTGCCCCCTTTTCTAAAATTTCTTTTTCTAAAGGGGGGGAGAGGGAGAAGGAAAAGGAGAGAAACATTGATTGGTTGGCTCTTGTACGTGCTCCTGCCCAGGGACTTAACCTGCAACCTGGGCAGGTACCCTGACCAGGAATCAAACTGGTGACTTCAGTTTGTGGAAAGACACCTTACCAACTGAGCCATACCAGTCAGGGCGAGTTCCCCACTCTTCAGTGGGGTGGTGGGGGAAGAGAGGGCAATTTTGCTTCAGATTGGTAGGAAGCTCCCTGGGTTCAGGTCTTGAGTAGGGAGAAGAGCATAGTAGGGCCCTGATGTCCTTCTCGGTGTTAAGTACCTCTCTCTACTCACCAGCAAGGTGCAGCTGGAGACTGGGGGGAGCGAGCCAATCAGGTCCTGAAGTTCACCAAAGGCAAATCCTTCCGACATGAGAAGACCAAGAAGAAGCGGGGCAGCTACAGAGGAGGCTCTATCTCTGTCCAGGTTAATTCAGTGAAGTTTGACAGCGAGTGACCTGGGGCCATCCTGGTGAAGCAGGGTGATGATCCGAGACTACTGACTTTCCCTGATGGGCCTGGGAGCTCTCGGCTCTGTTAGGGAGGTGACGAGGACAGGAGTCTACAACAGGTCTGAGGACTGCATCGGAACATCCTCTCTAGTCCTTTTCTATGTTCGTAGTTTTCGTACAGATTTGTTTTTGAGTGTTCAGTAGCAAGGACAAGGTAAGGGGTGTTTTGTTTTTTTAAGAAAAATTTCTTTTAGTTGTCATCCCCTTCTCACTGTTCTCTGGAAGTTCTCATACTGGGAAATTTGTATATTTTATATTAAATTGTTTCCTATTGATTTTTTGTGATTTTCAGAGGTGTGTTCCCACAGATAAAAGCTGTTGCCCAAGACATAGTAAAGGTCACGTGTATGAACTTGTATGATTAGAGAAGTCTGCCTACATGAGTGCAAATGTCCACATTTCACCCCTCCTTCCCATCAGCCCTGGTGAGGGCCACTTAACAATGGTTAATGTATGTGTGTTAAGCATGTGCTGTGAAGTTTTCAGCCAGCGTGACTTTGCTACTTTGGGGGATAAAATTCACTGTGTTGTTAACAGGCAAAATTATGGTGTAATGTGAATGTTGTGGAATCAGTCTGAATATTTTGTTTTCTGTTATTTTATTATTATTACATGATGAAATTTGCAGTACATGTTTTCTAATTTGAAAGCATAAACTTTCCTATTGTTCAAAGGCTTGTTTTGGTGACTTGACCCTTAACAGTGTTGGGTATTAAATTGAGGACTGCGTTGTCTGATTTTTTCTTTTTAACATTTCGGAGGAAAAAAACAACATTAATTGAATCACTTGGTATGTCTGTCTTGGTAGCAGTGGTAACACAAACTTAGTTTCATTAACTTCTACGTGCTTGGGAATCACTGATTAAAAAAGTAAAAGAAGGAAAACTAATAACCTCAATCCTCAGTAGGAATTAGGTTACATTACTCAGATGAATTTATAGTTCACCTATGTATGTCCTAAAACTTGAGTGGTGGGTTTGGGAGAGCATCCTAACAGGATTATTGCATCTTGGAGTTGGTACATGGAAGCAGTCGATGTGCCCCCTTCAGAACTGCCACTGTCTAACAGGGGGTAATGATAAAAACCACTGAGCAGGGATGTGACCCATAGGCTAAGCTGGCTGTTTGTAAGGCTGTAGGACATGTTGGCAGTGCTCAGCCAGAGCAGGATGGGGAAGCGCCAACAAACTCTGGGGGCCGGGCTGTCCCTGTGTCAGGAAGGTGTGCCCCAGTTTCATGGACAAGGTGTAGGTCTTTGAATTAACCTCCCCCCCTTTTTTGGATTTCATACTTGTAAATAACCTGATACTAACCTTGTTTTCCATGTAACTGCCTCTAGGAACGAAACGCATTGTTCATGCTGACATGGGTATTTCAGTCTGCATGGTAAAAGTTATGGATCTTATTATAAAATAATAAACTGATTGGTTTATAATGTGTCTTGGGAGTTTTATTGTGAGCCCAAAGCCCTCCCACCTCCTATTCAAACCAGAACAACTTGGATGCCAGTCAGAGGGCTGGGGTCCAGACCTGTGAGTTCACTGCAGTCTTCTTGGCAACAGCTTTCTGGCTCTTCTTGGCCATACCTTGTCCCATGGTGCCTTTTCCAGGCAATAGTCCAGCCGGTGTGTAGTCTAAATCGGGGGCTGGCAAAACAGCCTGTGGGCCAGATCCAGCCCATAGCTTGGTTTTTTTTTTTATTGCTTGGGAGCTAAGAATGGGTTTTACATTTTTAATGGGCTTTGAAAAAATATGACAGACTTCATGTGACCCACAAAGCCTACAAATACTTACTATCTGGCCCTTTACAGAAAAAGTTTGCTGACCCTTGGTATAAATCAGTGATTTCATAGCACTAGCTGAAAATCAGAATCAATCGGGCACGCTTCTAAAATCACTGGTCCCCAGGGGCGCATCCCAGAGTGGTGGAGTCAGACCCTGGTGTTCTCTGGTGGCGCTGGAGTGTTGGTTCTCGGGTGATTCTAAAAGTCAACCAGTGTTGAAACTGCTGGTCTAAGGGTATTTGGAAAGAAATGAATTGATATTTTTTCTCTCCTCATGATTCCATTTGCTAATGTTAAGTTTAAATGACTAAAGTGAAAATTAAATTTCCATCTCCTAGACCCATTTTTGGGGACTTGATTCTTGTGTTTCCTAAATAGAGTGGTCCTGTATGTACTATGTGCATTCTCTCACCTTTCTCTACACAAATGGGGTAGTTTGCTGTATGCAGTTTTTTTATAACTCCAGATGGAGCTCATTTCATAACAACACAGCAGCTCATTTTTAGTGGCTGCGTGGTAGTCCATTGTGTGGAAATAGTGTAAGTTATTTAAACTATTACCTTATTGTTACATGTTTCCATTGCTTTAGTATTTTTCCTATATCATAGATTACAAATGATTGTTTTTCAGATATTTTTACCTTAAAATGGAACATAATATCCATTAACTTTTCTTGAATAATTTGTATGCCTACTACTTACTGTTTGTGGCCTGCCTTGGCCCAGTGGCTCTGTTGGAGCATCATCCCATGCACCAAAGATTATGGGTTCATTTCCCGGTTGGAGTGTTACAGGAGGCAGCTGATCAATGTTACATCGATGTTTGTCTCTTTCCCTTCCTCTCTAAAATCAATAAATACCTCCTTGGGTGAGGATTTAAAAAAATTAAAAATATAAAAGGAAAACTATGGCTTATGGTTTTTTCTTTTGTATTTTATAAATACAACCACTCCCAGTCTTGTTTGATATTTTTTTTAACTTAACAGACTTCCTTCCCCCTTAGGCTTTGCAAATCTGAACCTGCCATATGTATGCAGTTACTGTGTTACACAAATGAGGCAGTTTAGCAAGTTGTCTAAAAGCATTTACTAGGAAATTACTTAACATCTCTGAGTCTACTTTCTCATTTAAAAGGAGTATTTTCTCATGTTGTCTGTAAAATCTGACTACTCTGGAGGGTTGTTGTAAGGACTGAGAATTTATCGAAAGCACTTAGCATAGTCCCTGACAGGTAAGCACTCTGTGACTGCCACTTGCACAACAAAAGAATCTTTGAAATGACTTTCCTTGGCGTCCTTGTGATGTGCAACGTGCCATTTCAACAAGCTCGAGTCATATCAGAGTGAATTGCTATATCCTGGCAGTGGATTTTTTTGTTAGTTTTTTTTGGCATCTTCATTCATGATGCCAAAGGTCGATATACAGAATTGATTTTATTTGTTTGAAATTTTAGTTTTGTGAGGGATCTGGAATTCTTGTTGCCAATGGGTCCTGGAACTATGGCTGAAATCCACAAGTTCAGTGAATCACATACCTGGTGGCTCATGCCCCTCTGCAGTGTACCTCGAAGTGACAGAAGGCAGGATACTTTCCTACACCCTCTTGTAGGCTTGTGCGTCACAGGGTTTATCCTCACTGCAACCTGACCCTGTTAGATGGGTATGAACTAAATCAGGGTTTCTCAACCTCAGCATCATTGCCATTTTGCACCAGGTAATTGTTCATTGTGGAGTACTGTCCTGTGTGTTGAAGCACATGTAGCAGCATCCCTGGCCTCTTAAGTACTAGATACTAGTAGCATCCTCCAGTTTGGACAACCCAAAATGTTGCAGATATTGCCAAATATCCCCTGGAGGCAAAATTGCCCCTAGTTGAGAACTACTGGGGAAATAGCTGAGTAGCAAATGATTTGCTTAGGGTTGATAAAACCATTAGCAAATGTGGCATGTTGAGGCAAGAACCTGGTGTCTCTATGTCTGAAAATCAGTCTGGCTGTATTCAACATTGCCTCCTAGGTGCCAGCCATAGAACTCCCAGAGAGCTCAATGGCTAATGGGGGAAGTTGGATATGGGAACAGTTTGTGCAGTGCGCTGAGTCCTGTCATCAAGGTCCAGAGTAGTCTTCCAAAGGGGACAAGCAAGAAAAGAGTTGGCTGACCTTGACCCAGGATTCTGAGGAGAGTTACAGCTTACCAGGTGCGAGGTAGGCACATGCCATGCAAAGAAGAGGACATTCTTCCAGTGGGAGAGGAGGGCCCTTAGGAAGGATTGAAGGTGTGTGGAAGGTAGGGGCACATAATGCTAAGTCAGACTGAAGATTTAATGACAACGACCTTTGGTACCCAAGTCAGGGGTTAGTTCTTTATTTTGTCCCCCTGGGTATTTTAGGGGATTGATAGTTAAGTGCAATGTTCCTGGTGCTAACGCAGCTGCCAGGAAAGCAAAGTTCCTACTGACCACTGAGTTCTCAGTCTGCAGTTACTGAAGGGGCCAGTAGGTGGAGCTTTTGCCCACTACAAGGACTAGACCAGCTGAAGCCTGACATTGTCATTATTCCAGCTACGTTCAACAAACTCAGAGAACCTGCCATGAGTTTTTGGATACAAGCCATGAGACGAGTAAGATATAAGCCCTTATTTGAGGACCCTTATTCTGGAGGGTGGACAGAGGAGGCCCTTCTGCTCCCTAGTCCTGGATATCTATGAGAGGTCATCTGTTACCTGACAGCTATGGCAGGCAGCACGGCTCGTAGAGGACGTTCACTACGGAACTCCCAACATCCCCCCAAGTTCTACAGAGCACCGGAGTCCCTGCAAGGGGGACAAGCCACAGGTCCCCTCTGCGTATGTAACTTGCAGACCCGTGTCCTTCCTAGGCCTGGATGCCCAGAGACCCCAGCACTTCCCTGTCTTCCCTCTCCCCTCCTCTTCCAGAGTAACCCCTTTGTGGAGCTCAGGACTGAGGGGAACTAACACCAGGCTTCCACTTTGGAAGTGGGTTTGAAAGTGGGGAGAGTACAGAGTATTTCAATAAAATAGCCTGCCAGGCACAGAAATGCATACATTGAGCAAATATGAGTGCTTACTATGTGCCAGGCACATAATGTGTGATTTTGCATGAGTGATGTTGACACAATAGTGAATGAACAAAAAAAAACACAGACAATCCCAGCAATCAAAGTTTACCTAGTTGAACGAGGGGTAAAGATAGTAATCCTCACAAATGTGTAAATGTAAACTTCAGTACAATGAAGGCAAGGGGCAGCGAACCATGAGAACATTTAACAGGGCAACTGACCCATGTGACAGAGGACTTGCTCACAGATGAGTGACCATGTAACTTATCATCTAAATGGATGATTTTGAGAGTGAAAGCGAAGGCTGAAATGAGCAGGGAGTAAAATGAGGCTGTTCTAGGCAAGTAAGGACAGGGCCACCATCGTAATAAAAATCTATACTGAGGAAGTGATGTTTCAACTGAAACTTGAAGGTAAGACTTAGGTAAAAGTGGTGAGGAAGAGCAGGGCTGTTTTTTCTAGCTAGATGAAACAGGCTGTGCAAAGGCCTTTTGGTGGGAGGGAGCCTGATGGAAACTCCAAGCTGTGAAAGAAGGCCTATGAAGCTGACAGGCAGAGTGAGGAGAGAGCAACCTAAGATAAGGCTAGAAAGGTAGGGAGGGACCGGAGCATGCAGAGCCTTGGTGAGGATGTTTAAGATTTTGGTCTTTACTCTGAAGGCAATGGGAAGAATTGAAGAGTGTGAGCATGTTAGCTTGGGCTACAGTAACAAGAGAGCATTAAGTAGATGGCTTAAGCAACAGAAATTTATTTCTCACAGTTCTGGAAGCTGGGAAGGCCAAGATCAAGATGCAGGCCTATTTGGTTTCTAATGAGAGCTCTCTACCTGTCTTGCAGTTAGCTTCTTGAGGTGTCCTCCTATGGCAGGGAGGGAGAGTGCAAGCTCTCTGGTCTCCTTTTATAAGGGCACTAATCCCATCATGGGGGCTCTGGTGTCATGACATCATCTAAACCTAATTACCTCCCCAAACCCTCACATTTTGGGAGACACAATCTTTCAGTCCATAACAGTGAGTATGTATGTGTCTTAAATTAAAAAAAAAAAATTAGTGTTATACACTTTTTAAAAAGATTTTATTTATTTATTTTTAGAAAAGGGAAAGGAGGGTGAAAGAGAGGGAGAGAAACATCAGTGTGTGGTTGCCTCTCGCACACCCCATCCTGGGCACCCGGCCCGCAACCCAGACATGTGCCCTGACTGGGAATCAAACCGGTGACCCTTTGGTTCACAGGCCAGCACTCAATCCACTGAGCCACACCAGCAAGGGCTTAAATTATTTTTATTAGGGAAAATATCAAATATTCACCAAAGTAGAGAGAATAAATATTATAATAAACCGCCTTTAAAATTTTTAAAATTGATTTATTTTACAGAGTGAGAGAAACATCAGCTTATTGTTTCATTCATCTATGCATTCATTCGTTGACTGTTGTATGTGCCCAGCCTGGGGATTGGACCCACAACCTTGGCATATCAGGACAATTGCTCTAACCGACTGAGCTACCAAACCAGGGTTAAACTCCCATCTTCTTATCAAGCTTTTTATCCATCTAGGCTCTAGCTTG